GACTCAATGGCACCTGACAACAACAACAATGTCTAAGAATAAATAGAGTCCTGGCCCAGGTCCCGCTCATGGAGGATCCAAATGCTTTTTTACTGACTTTTGTCGTTTTCTTTTGATCTTCTCTCTTTTACTGATATATGAACATTCTTTATATGATCTGGATATGGGACATTTGTGACTGAATGTGCTAAAATATCTTTTTCCATTCTTGCTTTTTTGTCTTTTGGCATTGTCATGATCCTCTTAACTATCATTTTGTTGTTGTTGCTGTGTTTTGCAAACAACACAAAACATATTTATTTACTCACTTAACCAGTGATATTTGAGTAAGTTGAAAACTTTCTCACTAAAAACAACCACAGCAACATTGTTCCTTGACTCTACTTCTCCCTCCAGGTTACTGCTGAGTCTCTTTATCTTCACAACCAAACTTTTCAAGAGCTTGTTGTATGTATAGTCTCTCTTTCCTCTCCATCCACTCACTTCTTTTTTATTGTTTTTATGATACTATTTAATGCTCAGTCCTCAAACTGACATCTTTGCTCTTGAACACTTAAAAAGATCTTGTGCATCATATTTACCTAAGCAATATGTCATTTGATTTTTTAACTGCTGCTTCTTGGTGGTGAATCCAAGCAAAATGAAGTCTTTGCAACATCAATCTTTTATCTATCTATCATGAAATTATTTATTACTCCAGTGGTGAGAATTTTAGTTTCCTTAACATTGAGGTACAATTCAAAGTGAAGGCAGTTGTCTTTGGTTTTCAACAATAAATATTTTAAGTCCCCTCTGCTTTCAGCAAGCAAGGTTGTATCATCTGCATATCATAGGTTGTTAATGAGACTTCCTCCAATCCTGATGCCACATTTTTCTTCATATAATCCAGTTTCTCACATTATTTGCTCAGCATACAGATTGAATATGTATAGTGAAAGAATACAACCCTGGCACACACCTTTCCTGATTTCAAACCATTCTGTGTTCTCTTGTTTTGTTCAAACCACTACCTCTTAGTCAATGGACAGGTTCCTTATGAGCACAATTAAGTGTTCTGGAGTACTCATTCTCCACAATGTTTTCCACGTGAGTTCTGAACCACATAGTTTAAAACCTTTGCGTAGACAATAATCACAGGTAAACATCTTTCTGGTGTTCTCTGATTTCAGTCAACATTGATCTGACATCAAGAGTGATACCTCTCATCCCACGTCTTCATCTGAATCTGGCTTGAACCTCTGCCAACTCCCTGTCAATGTGCTGTTGCAAGCATTTTTAAAATTATCTTAAGCAAATCACTCGCATGCGATATTAATGATATTGTCTGACAATTTCCGCATTCCGTTTCTTTGGAATGGTCTTTCCAATCAGTTGGCCAGGCAACTGTCTTCCAAATTTCTTTACATAGATGAATAATTGTCTCCAGGGCCGCATCAGTGTGATGAAAATTTTCTATTTGTATTTCAATTCCTGGAGCCTTGTTCTTTGCCAATGCCTTCATTGTACTTTGCACTTCTTTCTTCAGTACAATGGGTCTTGATCATATGCTACCTCTTGACATGGTTGAACTTCGACCATTTCTTTTTTGT